TGCTGAAAGAGAAAGTTCAGATCATTTGGTAAATTCTAGCTCGTGTCCAATGCGACGCCTTGAGATAGAATCAAGAAAGAGAGAGAGAGAGAGAAAGAGAAGATTTCACACATCAAACGCGTGACATTCAAACTGTACTAGAAAAGACGAACAAAAATTATAGTCTAAAATATGTAGGTCAACAGAGGAGCAAGAACAATCTCTTCAATATTGATAAGTTCTCCTTCATATCTACTAACGTAGTTGACGAGTTCAGTCAATGTACAACAAAACCCCATAAATAAACCTATAAATAATTTTAAAATAATAATAATAAAATTTCTATGTTATTAAAAGTCATTGTCTATTAAAACAGTTTGAATACTAGCCAGAAAATCAAAAGGCTCATATAGCTTCACTGAATTAACATTTTCTAAACCATAATCATAAAATGTATAGCTTATACTATTTTATTTATCGTAATGAAGACGGCGGAGTCGCTCCATAAATACAAAGTATATACTTCGTTAATTGCTACAAGATAATACAACTTACCTCGCACAGTAAAGAATTAATTTTTAGGACACTTAAAACGCAAAACATCATGGAATTATTGTCCAACAATTCTTCAGTTATATCATTACCCTAACGGAATGTACAGAAACCCATCAATTGCTGACTTAGTTTTAAGTTTTTCTGACCATCAATCAATGAAATATATGAGGAATATACCAGCGCGAAGTTAATATTAATCTTAATACAACCAGAAGGCAAGTAATTTTCCAAGCTCAGCAGATTTTTAAGAGCCAGTAAATGAGGAATCAAAAAAAAACCACATGATTTTCTAATCACTGTAGAAGTAGAAATTGTGAAAAAAAAAAATTCTGATTAAAAGAATTTTTTTGTGCGAAAAGAAAATTATTTTTGTTAATTTTTACACAATGCCGGGAGTTTCGATTGTTTCTGTAATTGAGGCGCAAAGTAAAAACACAATAAAGACAAAATACACCAGATTAGTTTAAACCCATAAACCCTGTGCTTGCCTTAAATAACTAAAACGTCAATTTACATTCCAAAATTCATTTTTGCACAAAATTACTGTTTTGAGCTTTTTTGTTTTGTTTTTATCTTTGCTTCAATGTATCATTGTTTAGTTTTCAAAAATTAATAATTTTTTTTGAAAAAAAAAAAACTGGTTTTCAAGAAAAAATGATATGGCAACACTTTTTTAACAATTGGCATCGTCAATAGAGAAACAATTAAAATTTGCTAATTATTTTGAATAAAAATATAAAAAATGTACATTTAATTGTGTATTTGTTATTAAAACGACATTTTTATTACTTGAAAGTGTTTTAAAGTTACAAGTTCTCATAAAAATACAATTTCACTTGCAAAATCCAGAATGAATGACTTCAAACCGAAAAAAATTTGCGAAGCTAAATACGGAATTAAAATAATTTTCGTTGGAATTCGTTCCTGCGACATGCCTGATAAGCAGCAATTCATCCATTCAATAAGAAACGCCAGTCGTAGCCTCTCCTTTTGCAATTAAAATATACAAACACTCTTTCAGATAACAAAAAAAAAATTTGTTTTGTATCAGATAAAAAAATAAAATTCCAAAAACACATTGATCTGGTGTGTTCAAATGCAATCGTAGCGGTTAAAATATACGGGCCTTTTTTAAATCGTCGTTCTTTTTATACCCTGCAACACTATGTGTTGGGGGTGGGATTGGGCCAAAAATTATGTAACACCTCGAAATATTGGTTTCCCACTTAGGAAAGTATATATGGATCTTCCTAGCTCGCCGAGCTGAGTCGATCTAGCTATGTATGTCCGTCCGTCCGTCTGTCCATGTTAATTTGTAATCACTCTACAGGTCGCAATTATGGCCCGATCTTCACGAAATTTAGAATGGAGGTGGGGTCTGGACCAGAATAGAACCCTATTGCTTTTGGAGATGATCGCATAATACTTAGGGGTTGAAATGGGCCAAATACTGAAAAATTTCCTGATTTTGCAGTTGCTCTACAGGTCGCAGTTATAGACCAATCGACGCGGAAGTTAGCACGGGGCTAGAGCTTAGGGCTGGCCAGAAGTCTTCGAATTTTGGTGATCATCGGGTAATATTTAGCGGGTGAAATAGACCATAGCATTTGTTTTAAATAAAATTTATTTTTAATCCCGGCGAAATCACAATAGATAAAGAGGTCAATTCTGACCGTTACGTAGATGCCGCTAGTAAATATATCTGATATATATCGGGAAATATATACAATGTAAATATACAAGGGAAGGGGATGTTAGCTAGAATGCATATATCTCAAGAATGGCTGAACCGATTTTGACAAATTTTGTCAATTCAGAATGCCGTCTTAACATAAGAGAAATAAATATTAAAAAATCGCATAGAAATGTGCCAATAATGGTGTCATAGATTTTGTAGTATATTGTGATATTTTTTTATTTTTTCATTATTTTTATCGCATGCGATTTTTTCAATTTGACTTACAATATTGAAGTATACATTTTGTAAAATTTTTCACTTTACAACACGGGTTAGGGTTATTATATACAGATTACAATTATCGTCCGATCTTCACGAAAAATTTCACAAGGGTAGGGTTAGGCTCAGAAGAGCCATTGTTTTCAAGGATGACCGCAATATATTTAGGGGTTGAAATGGACCAACCACTAAAAATGTTCCTGATTTTGGAGCCGTTAAAAGATCGCAAATAGAAACCAAAGGACTCGAGATCTCGCATGTAGTCAGGGTTAAGGACAGCGGTTAGAATGGACCACTACTTTTGTGTGCAAAAAATACCGTCATTACTTACAAGCAATATCTCAAATACACAAAAGACGAGCTTCTGGCTTTTTTATGCTGTTTTCGTTGATGAATATATACAAATATCGTAGTCAAGAAAATCATATATATGGGTCTAAATTTGTAGATGCATAGCGGCTTCTTACTTTTGGAGATGATCGCAAAATATTTAGGGGTTCAAATGAACCAAAAACAGAAAAAAATTCCTGATCACAAAATTGAAGTCAATCGACACGCCTGAGAAGAGAGTTAAGGACAGGGAAGAATTGTTGCATTTTGGATGACCATTGGATTATATTCTATATTTTATATAAACCACAGCTTACAGCACGACGGAGTGCGTAAATATTGGGCAAATGTCCCTGGTAAAAAATGCTAAGGGTAATATCTGGGCAGTGCTCCGTGATATAATTTCAAAAGCGGAATCTTCCAAAATGGATTTGGACATAAGGAGGCTTCTAATATATTGTAGTGTTGTAGGGTATCACATGGTCGGCCCCGCACGACTATAGCCTTTGCTTACTTGTTTAGATATGAACAAAGTTATATATAAATTTGTTATATGCGTAGCTTATATATGCTTCTCAAATATAAAAAAATGTCACCTAAAAAACTTCAAATTCTACTAAATAAGTGCTTAAAATCATTCATAACAAACCATGGCGTTGTCAGACTCATCTTTATAAAAGGACGAAACGATTTTTTACAATGTCTCAATCTCAAATTATCCCATTAGATCGGAATACTCCAGTATGAATTAGTATGTACCTAGATGTATTAATTCGCAAATTATCATACGTAAAACAATTGTTAATGGATGTATTTTTAATAAATAGTCATCTAATAGATTATACTGTTTGTCAATGTTTGATCTTGCTGTAATGAATATTATTTTCCCATTTTGTATACTGTAATGTCGTAAATAAAACTCAGTCCACTTGTATTTAAGTACATTATTGTGTAAATATAATGAAAATTACTAGACGAATTGTAAAAGCATGAAACATATAATCAGATGTATTTATTTATTTAAGGGCATCATAAACCATTGGCCAAAAATTGTGTATTGACAAGTAGGGATCGATGACTTTTGTCTAGTTTACAATATATGAAATTCTGTAATCATGTTCAGAGTAATGCAAATATTCCCACGAATACTGTAGTTTTGTTATCAAGGTCCCTTATCACCTTGGTGGCTTGTCTCCATGATAGCTACAATATTGGGTTGAGTTCATTTTTGACATTCCGTGAATCTTTCATTCCGATCCCAACTGTCCATTTTTGGTAGCTTTCGATTTGCTGCACGCTAGTTATAATAGCCACAAAAATATGATGTGCTACGGTAATGTTTTATTTACTAAATTAAAATTGTTACTGTGTAATTTTCACAGAGCTGATATGGAGATGCCTGACGACAAGAAGGTAACATTCATCGTAACCGAAAACATTGATCTGCTGCCAGGGTCTATCGAATACAGAAAAACCAAAAATAAAATTAAATTTTACACAACAATCAAAGTTATGTAATGCTTAATTATTCCCAGATTTTGTTTTTAATGACTGTGACTGCCAAATGTGCAGTGACATTGTCATAACAACAGCATAGTAAATCTTGAAGACTGTAACAAACCGACAGCAATTTTAAACGCTGATTATAATTATGGCTGTAACCTATTAATCATTAGTTATAATATTTTGATAAGAAGTGGTGGCTGTACGACTGTACAGGTGCAGTTTATTATAAAATGCATTCTGCGTTTCGGAATAAGCTGTTGTAAATGTTAAACTAATGCTCTCTTGGTTGACCTGCTATGTGCAGGTTTTTAACGTTTTTCTGAACATATTCATCGGTTTTTGGCAATCTCCTTTACCTTATTATCTTTATTTCTCTTAAGAGAATATTTCGATTTCCCCCGGAAATCATCTTCAGGGATCTGTTTTACAGAAAAACACAAATTACAAATAAGTAAAATTCTTTAAATTGAAATATGTTCAAGGCAAAACTTTTGTAGTGTATAATAATAATTTAGTGTTACATGATGAAAATAATAGATCAATGTAATTGCATTTAACTATGGCGTTACTTCATGTTCAGGTCTGTAAAAGTTATAAATAAGAAAATAAAATAATAAATAAAATAATAATGAGCAAGATTCTAAGGTGCTGTATATTTATTTTTTTATTATAGGTGCTTTCTGCGAAGAGGATGAAAAGCGATTTTTGGTAACTGTTATTAAAGATCTCTTGGGTTTATGCGAACAAAAGAAGGGTAAAGATAATAAAGCAATTATTGCATCGAATATTATGTACGTAGTTGGACAATATCCACGATTTTTGCGAGCACATTGGAAATTCTTGAAAACTGTTGTCAACAAACTTTTCGAATTCATGCACGAAACTCATGATGGTGTTCAGGACATGGCATGCGATACATTTATAAAAATAGCCATAAAATGTAGAAGATATTTTGTGACGATACAACCAAACGAGGCATGTACATTCATAGATGAAATATTGAGTACTATGAGCAGCATTATTTGTGATCTTCAACCACAACAGGTAACAGACTGAAATAATAGCTTTTTTTACAATATGATTGTATTTTTTATTACAGGTGCACACATTTTATGAAGCTGTTGGATATATGATATCGGCTCAAGTAGATCAAGTACAACAGGATATATTAATAGAAAAATACATGTTTTTGCCTAACCAAGTGTGGGATGAAATAATTTCACGCGCTTCTAAGAATGTGGATTTCCTCAAAAACATGACAGCTGTTAAGCAATTAGGAAGCATATTGAAAACAAATGTCGCAGCATGCAAAGCGCTAGGACATGCATACGTTATTCAGTTGGGTCGTATTTATCTAGATATGCTGAATGTGTATAAAATAACATCAGAAAACATTATTCAAGCTATTGAATTGAATGGCGTTAATGTCAATAATCAACCACTAATAAAGGCGATGCATGTTGTAAAAAAAGAGACCCTAAACCTCATATCAGAATGGGTATCGCGTTCTAACGACAATCAACTTGTTATGGATAACTTCATCCCTCCTTTGTTAGATGCGGTTCTCTTGGATTATCAGGTAATCTAGTGTAGATTTATTGTTTTAAACTAAATGCTTATAAAAGTATTTTACAGAGGTGCAAAGTACCATCAGCACGGGAACCAAAAGTTCTCTCATCTATGAGCGTTATAGTCCATAAACTGCGAAGTGACATTACGAATGAAGTGCCGAAAATTTTTGATGCGGTCTTTGAGTGTACTTTAGATATGATTAACAAAAACTTTGAGGATCATCCACAGCATCGCGTAAGCTTTTATGAGTTATTACAAGCAGTCAATGCCCATTGCTTCAAGGCATTCTTGAACATACCACCAGCACAATTCAAGTTAGTTTTTGATTCGGTTGTATGGGCATTTAAACATACCATGCGTAATGTTGCAGATACAGGCTTAAATATTTTATACAAGGTACGGTAACATATTTGTAAAATTAAAATTTGCACTGACGTATTACCGCGTATTACAGATGCTCCAAAATTTAGAACAACATCCAGCAGCTGCACAGAGTTTCTATCAGACGTATTTTACGGACATTTTGATGCAGATATTTTCGGTTGTTACTGATACGTCACATACGGCTGGTCTTGGAAATCATGCAATTATTCTAGCTTATATGTTCTCGTTGGTAGAAAACAATAAGATTACTGTAAATCTTGGTCCAATACCAGACAATACAATTTTCATACAAGAATATGTGGCTTCATTGCTCAAATCTGCATTCAGTCACTTGACAGACAACCAAATAAAGGTATTTGTTACGGGTCTATTCAATTTAGACGAAAATGTACAAGCATTTAAGGAGCACTTAAGAGATTTCTTAATTCAAATACGGGTAAGCACATATATACCGCGGTCATAAATTTGATGTAGTAACACTTTATGTCTAACGATAGGAAGTTACTGGGGAGGATGACTCTGATTTATATCTAGAAGAACGGGAAGCCGCCCTACGAGAAGCGCAAGAGAGTAAAATGTTAATGCAGCGCAACATACCAGGAATGCTAAATCCACATGAATTGCCAGAGGACATGCAGGACGAATAAGTTAATGTTGAATTCAAAATCTGCCCTTTGCAAACAAGAATATCAATGAACAGCAAATTTCAAATATTGGAAGTTTGTTAAAATATGATAAACATCAAGATTCGAGCGAAAGGATATAATGCCAGCATAACTGTATACACTATTCAGCAGCTAACATCTTGAGATCATATACAATATACACATATTTGAATATTCAACACTAAGCTCACCAATTCACATACGAACTTAACTACAGCAGTAACTTGTTTGTGTTTTTTGAATAACATAATAATGATAGAATGTACATTAAAAATTCAAAGAATTAAATTTAAATTTGCCCATTTAAAATAAAACTAAAAGAATTAAAAATAAAGATCAACAATAAACGACAACTCACAATCGATTTTTCAGGATAATGTATGTAGTAGTGTACATTGTTAAAATGTGTTAATAGCTTATAACACCATTTATCACCTTTCATATATTATAATTGTTTGTATGTGACCCAATGATTTTAATTATATTTTTATCAGTTTGAATGCGATTAATATAGTTTTTAATACGTATGAATGTATATGCTTTGATAATTATCAATGTAAAGATTAAAGCAAATTTCAAATTACCACTATTATCAAAGAATTAATGGAGTTAATCGCCGAATTCAAGTAATAGACCTTGAATAAAATTTTGGTTATAACACTATATCTTATTTACTTTGAACCGGTTTCTCGACTGCTTCGACTTTGATGTAAAACATAAAAGGCACAGTGGTTTAAAGTAAGTTTGTTATACATATTTTTCAACAATATTATTTCACAACAGAATGCTTAATCCCATTGTTGGTTTTATAGTGTAGTTGATTTTAGTAGATATATTTAAAAACAACACGTTTGACGTGTCTCTTACACCCCGAATACGTTCGCAATCCCAATAGAAGATGACCCAAATAATCAATGTAAACTAAAAGTTCCTTAGTTGTTGTTGTTGTGGCAGTAGTACATGCATGTGTTGCGTTCTGCTAATCTGGTTCCAGCTCCAGGTTTAGAAATTCGACTACTTTAATGGGCTGTAGCCAGAGATCTTCTGGAGTGAGTCGGGTAGGTTTAACTGTGCAATTAAAGAGATACAGCGTATTGTGCGGCCTGTATTGCATGCCGGGCAGGCGTCACGCATATCTTCAGACGACTACACCATCCTGAACCAAACACCATTTTAGGTCTTTGCCTGAACGTAATTGCGCCAAAATTATCCTGGTTTGTATAGGCAGCTGACGTTCTTCAGCTGCAATGGATGGGGGGTGGACTCCGGGGACGGCATTCATGGATATGCTTCCACTGCGTAGCACTAGTATTCGCAGACTACTGAAGCCGCATAGCAGACCACAGACCGACCTATCGCGTTATAAGAGGTCAACAAGGTTTCTTTGTCCGCACCCCAAGTGCTGCCGGCTAGCGCCTTGAGGACCTTGTACCTACTTTTCATCTTGCCGCAGATAGCTGTGGCTTGCGCGGACGACTTGAACATGCTGTCGAACGTGATTCCAAGAATCTTGGGGTAGTTCGTGGTCGGTATTAGAATCCCCTCGACCTGAACATTCAGCTGTGTTCTCATCTCCGCAGACCATGTGGTAAAGAGTGTGGCCGTTGATTTCGTGGCGGATATTTTCATATTCCTTCGCTGGAAGTATGCGGCAAATTCCGTGAGATAGGGGTTCAGCCTTTCGCATATGTCATCGACCACTGGGCCCGACGCAATGATCGTACAATCATCCGCATACGTTACGATCTCAATGACGTCTGGAGGGCGAGGAATTCCGGAAAGGTAAAGGTTAAACAGTTCCGGAGATATCACCCCACCTTGGGGAACTCCCTGTTTCACTCTACGGCTTTGGACTTCTTGTTTCGGAATTCCACGTACGACTGGCGTCCACACATATAGTTGATTATCCAACGTTTCAAACTTGGCCGCAGGGTAGTTCTCTGCACGTCCTCAGACAGTGTGGCATGATTGACCGTATCAAATGCCTTTGATAGGTCAATGGCTATCAACACTGTTCTGTCACACGGCCTGTTCTGGTTCAGTCCTCTACTAATATGTGTGAAATGACGTGTAATGCTGTTGTGGACGGAATCCGTGCTGGTGGTTGGCAACTGTATAGCTTTCTCCAATGCTGGGGAGGAGTAAAGCCTCAAGAGTCTTAGCTACTGGCGACAAAAGCGAAATCGGCCTGTACGGTTCGCCTTTGCTTCAGTAGCGGAACCACCCAACCCATTTTCCAGGTTTCGGGTATTATGTGGATGGCTAGCGACAAATTGAGAACTTTCGTTAAGTACTCGACTCCCGGCGTATCCAGCTGCTTCAACATTACCACTGAGATTCCGTCCGGGCCCAACGCTTTGGATGACTTAGCATTACGGATGACATTTGCAACATCACCCATCGTAAACTGTGGTGGTTCCTCCTCAGCAGGAAGAGATCTGATACGACGTAGTACTCTTCGCTTCGCCCTATCGCTCTCGGGGTGCTCGACAAATTGTCGGTTAAAATACTCCGCGCACCTCTTCTTTTTTCCAGGGTTCGAGAGCGACTTAACCGTTGCCCACAGCTTACTCATATCGGTTCCAATGTCGCAGCACTTCAGATGGTGTAGCCACTTTTTCCTCTTATGCTCCAACCAACTGTTGACTTCCACTGTCAAATCACTGATTCTAGGATCAGTAGGGTTGGTACGACGGAGATCATCACGCTCGTTTGCTAATCCCGCTGCCTCTGCTGGGAAGTTTGGTCTTAGTTTGGAGAGTTGGGTAGGTTTGGCGGTGCAATTGAAGAGGTGCAGCGTATTGTGCCGGGCAGATGTCACGCACATCTTCGTCAATCGTGCGCAATACGTATTGAGACGACCGCACCATCCTGAACGTAATTGCGCCAAAACTGCCCTGGTTTGTCTAGGCAGCTGACGCTGTTCAGCTGCAACGGAGGGGGGGGGGGGGGGTGGATTCCATGGACGGCGTTCATCAAGCAGGTACTGCACCGAAAGCATATGATTATGCTGACGTAAGGGAAAGGTTTTCGCCTCCTTCATGGAACAGGAACGCTTATCCCCCACCTCCACTTGTACTGCGATCATTCGCAATATGTTGTAGGCTGCAATTTTCATTCAGCTTGGTTTCCTGTACCGCTGCGATCTTAATATTCCTCCGATTCATAAATTCCAATATATAATCTATTTTGTCCGTTGTAATTGAATTGCAAGAACGATGTACAATCCAGAGTTGGAACAGCAACATGTGGCGTAAGATACTGCGGTATTGGTTGCTGTTCGGGAGACTGCTGTGGAGTTTCATTCTCCGGCGACGACTCTGAAGGGGACGACGAAGACATGGACTCGCTGGGGACTACGCTATTGCAGCCAGCGTTCGAAAATAAACAGTATGGTACTGTACCGTAGTGTTCTGTACCGTTCGAGGTGGAGTGGTACACAAAGATAATGTACCGTACCGGAGCACAACCCTACGATTTTTTAATGCTCCGATTGCGAAACACCAATTTTTTTTAGTGCTCCGACTCCAGAACACTACGACCATCATTGTGTTCCGGTACAACATCACTAAAGTATTTTTAGTGGTAGTGTACCAGTACACTACCGCTAACTTTTTTTTTGGTGATACAGTACCGGAACAGTACACTATGTTTGTGTACTGTTTATTTTCGAACGCTGATTGCAGCACGTCCCAACACAGCCCCTTTATCTGTAGTCTGGCAAACGTCTTAGTCCGGAACAGTTCATGAAGTGCACCCATTTTCTACATCCATTACATCGCACCGAAACAGATATGTGGTGTATGACGTTCTGACAAACTGAGCAAAACTAAGATCCGGAGCAAGCATTCCGGGATATACAAACATGTACATACTGGGTTGGCAGCCGCTGCCCGAAACTGGGATGTTGTTGTTCCGGGTCAATCCGGTATCGTAGAACCCGCTGCCGTGGGATTGATTTTTTTTAATTATAAAAAAAAAATTTAAAATTATATGGAACAAATTTTTTATTTATTTGATATTTTCCCTCAATATTAAAATAAGTTAAATAGCGTGAAAAATGAATGAAATACCTTTTTTTCTTTAAAAAATATGACCCAAATTGTTCAATCTATAAATTTTATGGTAAAAGTGGTTAATATTGCACGTTTCTTAAAATGATTGACTTTGAAAAAAAAATATTTTTCAAGACAACAGACAAATATACATACATAACATACACAAAATTGGCAGATGTTTACATGCATGGCTCAATAAGAAAGGTTGGTCAACTTCAAAGAAACTGGAAAAATGCAACTCTGTGCTGGGGTCTTGTAGTGTCAACTAGACTTTTAAATATGCAACAGTTGACTTTGTTTTTTTTTGTCTGTCCATGTATTTTTGTAAACAAAGTACAGTTCGCATTTATTGCCCTATCCTGATGAAAGTTTTCACAGATCATTTGTTTGGCCCAAGGACGAACCCTATTGAAATTGGAGATAATCGGTCAAAATTTAGATATAGCTCCCATATATATATTCGTCCGATTTGCCTTTTATTGTGCACCAAACGTGTAATATCAGCCCGAATAGTATGGAATTTTGCACATACAACCAAATTAGGCCTGAAAATAAGTATGCCAAATTTGATCGAAATCGGTTCAGATATAGCTATGCTTCCATATATATTGTTCATCCGATTTGTTATTTTTGTCCTCCACAGCGGCAATATGCACTCTGTAACAACAATATTTGGGGAAATATAGCAAATATAGCTCAGAAATACATTTGCTAAATTTTATTGAGATCGGTTCAGATTTGGATACAGCTCCCATATATAACTTCGTCCGATTTACTTTTTATTGTGCACCAAACGTCTAATATTCGTCTAAATGGAATGGAATTTGGCACTTACGACCGAATTGAGTCTAGAAGCTAGTATGTCAAATTTGGTGAAGATCGGTTCAGATATAGCTATAGCTCCCATATATATTGTTCATCCGAAACTTTAAATTATAATTATAATCATAGCGTGTATGATTGAACTCTCCCATAAAAACTTTCTATTGTTATGTGGAGCTCTACTAAATTAGCAAAGTGGTGTAGGGTATCATAAAGTCGGCCCCGCCCGACTTTAAGACTTTCTATACTGGTTTTTATATCGTGGAACGCCCGCAAAACAAGAATGGAATTTCGGGGTTATTCTACAAGATGAAATCTAAAATAGTAGGACAATACAGTTTTATCTCAAAATTGTAAAATATTTTACCCATTTACGTCAAAAATTAGCATTTATTTTGCAACCAAATTTAAAATAATTTCTAATTATTGTATTTTTTATTCAAAGCAATACATAAATATACACAAAATGTGTGTAAGTTTTGTCAGAATAAGGCACCAAAAGAAAAAACAGCAGCGAAAAAGCAACAGCAAAAAAGCAGCTAAGTTCGGCCAGGCCGAACTTTTAATGCCCTCCACCATTGGAAACAAATTTGAACATTTACAAAAAATAAAATCTTTAAAAAATTCTGTTAAAATTTTAAAAATCCCGAATATAGCCGTTATATTGGGGTCTTTACGACGTGGACCTACAGAGGCATTGTTTGTCATAAGCCATTACCATATTCAAATTCGAAACTTGAAATAAACGGTGAATAATGTAGCTAAAATCATCAAAATATCAAA